TCCAGGTGTCCAGTCAGGCGAAGGTGTAAGCCAGGCTTTCTGAGGGCGAACCGGTAGAGCCGCAGGAGGTCCAGGTGGCGGTGTAGGTTGGGGAGTAGTGACCGGTGGTGGCATCACGGGTGGCATGAACTTCGCTGGCGTGGGGTCAGGAGGGATCGGCATCATGTAGTTGATCGCTGGATGCTGGAATTGCTGTGTGGGGCTGTGAGTCGATTGAAAATTGGTGGGCATCATCGGGAAAGTGTTGGCAGAGTTGTAGCCGGAATTGTGTTGCCAAGATACCAGGTTGTTCCAATCCATGCCCTCAGAGACCTGGTTGTCATTGTGTTCACGTCGGCGTGCTTTACGAGCTTGAGGTGAAGGACTCCGATCACGTCTGCGCCGAGTCCTAGATCTGTCACGATCATCACGTCGAGACATGACGGCGCAACAAACTCAAAACCGCAACTCCACAATCTTGAGAGGAACGAGTCCGACAAAATGCAAGTCCATGCAAGTTCAAGTCAGCAGCCAGCAGCAGACCTAGTGAGACGTCTCTATGATCTGACGGCTGTCTTCCCTTTAGTGAAACCTCGTTCCTGGTTAAATGTGAAATTCCGCTGTTCTATGATAAGAACGTTGAGGTCAAATTGTCCGACAGAGCCGGCCCGGGGTCACACAATGGGTACACCCGAGGATTCCCCACGAATGGGGTGTACACACTTGAACTCCAGATGGAGAGTGCTAATCTTTCGAGTACAACTGATGAGTTTCGAGTACAACTGATGAGTCTCGAGTACAACTGGGGACAAACCCCATCGGCTTGCTGGTCACTTGGCTTCCCTGTAGCTACTTGAACAGGGACACACAAAGCAACGGCGGATCAGGGAGGGGACCAAAAGGACCTTCAGAAACATCACTTCACAAAAGCAGGTACACGCGGATGATCAGTCCGCGCTTCCCCCATGGTGGTTAGCTTCGTTGGCACAGGTCACCACCATGGGCCTGTGCCCCCTGCTGAAAAACCGAAAGGGTGGTGACAGGGCATTCTGTCACTCCGCACACACACACACACACGGCCAAACAACGACAGAACCCATGCAGTTGCATGTGGTCAGTCCTTCAAAAATGGGTAGCTCTTCTCACTGAGAACCTTGGCCGCGTCGTCGATCTTGTCGGCATACGCGGGCGCAGTGCCCAGCAGGGCCGCGGCACCTGCAGCGGCAACTGGCACCTGCCGGCCCGTCGGGGGCGGCACGAATGCGCTCTGCCAGCCGCAGTAGGCCGCCACGGCCGCTGCAACCACGAGCATCTTGCTTGCCTTCGCCATTGCTGACACGAGGCAACGGGGCACTGGCCGGAGTCAAGGCAAACGAGTCAAGAGCTGCGAGCAACATCAGAAACCAGCAGAGTGCATCACCTTAGCACGTCTTTCGGGCTTCAGCTCAAGTCAGCACTGGGAAATTCCGCAAAGGAGTGTTTGACCCCGTCTTGGTCCTCTTCCCCTGGCCGAAGGGTAGTACGTACCATTTCTGGCACCGCGGGGGGTGGATGGTGGGTGCCAAGTCGCAGAAAATAATCGAGTCTCCCCTGACTGCCCATGGGCCGTAGAAGGTTTCTCAGTGAAAGCCCTTCCTGGCATCGAGGAAGGACTGTGCAAACTTGGGGATTTGCCTGCAATATCAGGAGCGGCCACAAAGCACGCTATTGTCAAAGTCAGAAGTCAGGCAAACAGGTGGCAGGTTCTTAAAAAGCCTCAACAATCTTGAGGATAAGCGCCTTCTGGCACCAAGCACAGACCCCCAGTGCATGATTGCCGGCATGAAGGACTAGAAAGAGGCGTCAACGTATCCTCGGGGCAACAACAGGCTTGACTCGACGAGGCAAATCGTGTTCGGAGTCAGTCGGCAAAGGACGATGTTTTCCAAGCTACGGCTCCGCATTGCTGTCGCAGCTTTGTCACTGAACACAACGCAATTAACAGGAATTGATAAAGTAGAACAATATCGTTTGAGCCTGGATGTCTGGGGGTTCCAAGCAAACGAGGCTCAAACGACCAAGAAGCTGTACAAACTAAAGGAACTCGACAGAATACGGCGCATGGCCGAGTGACTCCGGGAAGCTACCTAGCTCAGCGCTGGGAAGCCTTGACCACATCCTTGAACTCAAGGAATGCCTTGTAGGCAGCCTTGGCATCCTCGGAACTCACCTTGGACATCATGTAAGGGCCCACATCCTTGCCCAAGCTGAACTTGTTGAAGGCGTTGTACACGTCCATGGTCTTGGAGGCCGGCACGGACGCAATCATGTGGCCAATGGCGGCGTTGGTGGCAGTGTAGTCCGCAAGGGTGGTTACGCCCTTGCCGTCAATGCTCTTGATGGCCTTGCTGTGGGCCAACACGCCAGCCTTCAGAGCTTCCGGGTCCATTGCGGCGCCCATGACCAACATCTTATCGATGGCCTTCAACACCTCCAAGGGCTTGGCGGTGGGCAGCACTCCGTAGACGCCATCAGTCCAGTCGATCTCCTCTGAACACAACAAGCCACTACCAGTATCATGCAGTCGCTTCCTACTCAGGAAAAACATGTCAAATTACGCGTCCGTGGCAGAACCAGTACCGAAAGTAACAACCAGTAACATGTGTTGGCTTGCAAATCATCATTGTGCGGTCCGACCCAAGTTGACAGAAGAAACAGCAAAGTATGTTCGAGTTAGTTCAATGGCCAAGCAAAGTTAGCAAGTGCGCGCACACGCACACACAACAAGAAACACAGACATCGCCAAGCAACAACAGAACCCGTGCAGTTGCATGTGGTCAGTCCTTCAAAAATGGGTAGCTCTTCTCACTGAGAACCTTGGCCGCGTCGTCGATCTTGTCGGCATACGCGGGCGCAGTGCCCAGCAGGGCCGCGGCACCTGCAGCAGCGGCAACTGGCACCTGCCGGCCCGTCGGGGGCGGCACGAATGCGCTCTGCCAGCCGCAGTAGGCCGCCACGGCCGCTGCAACCACGAGCATCTTGCTTGCCTTCGCCATTGCTGACACGAGGCAACGGGGCACTGGCCGGAGTCAAGGCAAACGTGTCAAGAGCTGCGAGCAACATCAGAAACCAGCAGAGTGCATCACCTTAGCACGTCTTTCGGGCTTCAGCTCAAGTCAGCACTGGGAAATTCCGCAAAGGAGTGTTTGACCCCGTCTTGGTCCTCTTCCCCTGGCCGAAGGGTAGTACGTACCATTTCTGGCACCGCGGGGGTGGATGGTGGGTGCCAAGTCGCAGAAAATAATCGAGTCTCCCCTGACTGCCCATGGGCCGTAGAAGGTTTCTCAGTGAAAGCCCTTCCTGGCATCGAGGAAGGACTGTGCAAACTTGGGGATTTGCCTGCAATATCAGGAGCGGCCACAAAGCACGCTATTGTCAAAGTCAGAAGTCAGGCAAACAGGTGGCAGGTTCTTAAAAAGCCTCAACAATCTTGAGGATAAGCGCCTTCTGGCACCAAGCACAGACCCCCAGTGCATGATTGCCGGCATGAAGGACTAGAAAGAGGCGTCAACGTATCCTCGGGGCAACAACAGGCTTGACTCGACGAGGCAAATCGTGTTCGGAGTCAGTCGGCAAAGGACGATGTTTTCCAAGCTACGGCTCCGCATTGCTGTCGCAGCTTTGTCACTGAACACAACGCAATTAACAGGAATTGATAAAGTAGAACAATATCGTTTGAGCCTGGATGTCTGGGGGTTCCAAGCAAACGAGGCTCAAACGACCAAGAAGCTGTACAAACTAAAAGAACTCGACAGAATACGGCGCATGGCAGCGTGACTCCGGGAAGCTACCTAGCTCAGCGCTGGGAAGCCTTGACCACATCCTTGAACTCAAGGAATGCCTTGTAGGCAGCCTTGGCATCCTCGGAACTCACCTTGGACATCATGTAAGGGCCCACATCCTTGCCCAAGCTGAACTTGTTGAAGGCGTTGTACACGTCCATGGTCTTGGAGGCCGGCACGGACGCAATCATGTGGCCAATGGCGGCGTTGGTGGCAGTGTAGTCCGCAAGGGTGGTTACGCCCTTGCCGTCAATGCTCTTGATGGCCTTGCTGTGGGCCAACACGCCAGCCTTCAGAGCTTCCGGGTCCATTGCGGCGCCCATGACCAACATCTTATCGATGGCCTTCAACACCTCCAAGGGCTTGGCGGTGGGCAGCACTCCGTAGACGCCATCAGTCCAGTCGATCTCCTCTGAACACAACAAGCCACTACCAGTATCATGCAGTCGCTTCCTACTCAGGAAAAACATGTCAAATTACGCGTCCGTGGCAGAACGAGTACCAAAAGTAACATTCAGTAACATGTGTCGACTTGCAAAACATCATTGTGCAGCAAAGTATGTTCGAGTTAGTTCAATGGCCAAGCAAAGTTAGCAAGTGCGCGCACACGCACACACAAAAAGAAACACAGACATCGCCAAGCAACAACAGAACCCGTGCAGTTGCATGTGGTCAGTCCTTCAAAAATGGGTAGCTCTTCTCACTGAGAACCTTGGCCGCGTCGTCGATCTTGTCGGCATACGCGGGCGCAGTGCCCAGCAGGGCCGCGGCACCTGCAGCAGCGGCAACTGGCACCTGCCGGCCTGTGGGGGGCGGCACGAATGCACTCTGCCAACCGCAGTAGGCCGCCACGGCCGCTGCAACCACGAGCATCTTGCTTGCCTTCGCCATTGCTGACACGAGGCAACGGGGCACTGGCCGGAGTCAAGGCAAACGAGTCAAGAGCTGCGAGCAACATCAGAAACCAGCAGAGTGCATCACCTTAGCACGTCTTTCGGGCTTCAGCTCAAGTCAGCACTTGCTTGGAACCTCCTCTTTTTCCGGGTTGCTCTTGTTTTGCGTGCACCTGCCAATTGAAAAAGTCGCGTTTGGCATGCTCTTCGATCCCTTGGCGGTCTCCTTTAAGCCTTTGGCATGTCACACCGCAAAAGGCAGGTGCTTTGTGTTCGTTCCACGACTCAGCCGCGAAACGTGTCGCTCTCACTTCCATGAGGCCACCAGCTCCTGATGGAATCTTACGACACGCCCGGAGAACCGGCCTGCTTTCCTGGGGCCTGGGAGGGAGGGGTATGGGAGGGGTCCCAAATTGTATAGCTCTTGTTAAGCCGGCAATAAGGTCCTATTTGGGCTCCTCGCATCTCCCCCCGCACGATCTTATAAGAGAAACTCGATTTTTCCATAGAGCACTAGTGTGAGATTCCGCAGGTATTCTCCTAATGATTAATGCAAGCAACAATCCCTCGGTTGGTCTGCACTCATTCGCAAAGTCCAGCAGAGAGAGGGCGGATAACCCCCGAGAAGCACACTGAGTAGCACACCCCGACTAGGAATGACGGGATTTTAACCCCTCATCGTCCAGCAGAGCCTCTCCCAAAGCCAACCTTCGCCTAGCATCGCCCCACAAATAAGACGCGCCTCGAAGCTCATGTCAGGCTTCTCAGCCTTAGGGGCAGCTGCCTGGCCAGCACGGCTCGCTTGTGAACGGTTCCCTCCCATAGGAATTCGGCATCAGTAACCCCCATCGTGCCGGGTAGTTGGTAGAGCCGGGGCCCCACGTCATGCCGGTTACAGCTGAAAGAACATGTCCAAGAAATACTCCACGCGCATTCTCAGAAAGGTAGAACAGTCTCCCAGCGCAACAATTTCCGCAAAAGCTGCCAAGAAATGATGATGATGATGATGATGATGATGATGATGATGATGATGATGATGATGATGATGATGATGATGGTGGTGCTGGTGGTGGTGGTGGTGGTGGTGGTGGTGATGATGATGATGATGATGATAGGTTTGATGATAGGTTTGCTGACAGGCTTGATGATAGGTTTGATGATAGGTTTGATGATAGGTTTGATTTTGATGACAATGATGATGATGATGACAATGATGCTGCTGATGATGATGACGACGACAATGATGCTGACAATGATGACGGTCATCGCGTTCTCACGGTCATCACGATCATCACCAACATCGCCATCACCATCACCACCATCGCCATCATCACCATCGCGGTCATGGGACCGTGGTCACAATTAGCACAACTATGATGATGGTTATCATGATCATCAGCATCATCAGCAACAGCATCGGCATCATTGCCATCACCATCGTCATCATCATACACACCGCCGCCCCACCACCACCGCCGCCGCCGTCCTCGCCGCTGATGACGACGATGACGACGGTGATGATGATGATGGTGGTGGTGGTGATGATGATGATGATGATGATGATGGTGATGGTGATGGTTGTGATTGTTGTGATGATTGTGATAATTGTGATTGGTTTTGATGATTGCGATGATTTGATGATGGCCATGTGTATGTGTTGTTTTCTTCCGCGGTGATGGCTATACATTTGCTTTTTGGAAGCTCCATGTGAATGTTCGGGGGTCTAGCAAAAGGCCCGGCAAAACGGGTACTGCACACCCCGTACTGTTGGCGAGCCTGAGGAATTACAAACAACAGCGAGGACCCCGGTACTCCTTAAGAGTCCAACAAGGGGGGAGGACGTACTCCAGCGGAGCCGCGGCAAAAGACTGAAGTCGGTTTGCGGCCAAACTGTTGGGATTCTGATGGCCACAAAGACGTCTGGTACACACGGATTCGCGAATCTTTCCCTGCTTCCCTAGGAATCTGGATACCTTGACTTTGACCCGCTGGGGATGTTGCTGCTCGGAGAAAATGATGAAACCCCATATGGGTGTGTCTTTTTGAGGATACCCTGTTTTGGTTGCTGCACAGCGAACCCAAAAAGAACAAAAAAACTTCATTTTGGGGGGCCCCCTGCAGAAGGACAGAACCAACAGGTCGCGGCCAAGGGATTGCCCTTTCCAGGGGGTTGAATCCGAAACCACCAAAAACTCCAGGCTGCTTGGAGCTTTTCCTTTGACTGCCCTCAGATCCCCTTCTACAAGTTTAACTTTTAGCGGGTTACATGGAAACTACCCCTAAACCAACAAACACCAACCAAAAAGCCAAAGGAACCGGAGGGCTGGGAGCCAAGTTGAGACCAACCCAACTGATTCCGGACTGGAGGCCTTGAGACCAGCCCTTAGCAACACCTCCCCGCTCCCCGCAGAAACGTCCCGAATCCTCACCTCGGGCTTCACTTTGCCCACCACCTCAGGGGCTCTTCGTTTGGCTTCGGTTGCCCAGGCCTGAAACACGCCCTCGGAAAAAAGGGCTCGGCCCCGCAGTGAGAGGGGGGAACCTGTTCTTGAGACTATCTCCTCGCCTAAGGTTGGTTTGTGAGGAACCTTTGGGGCTGGCCTTGAACTAAGGGTACCCTTTTTTCGGGTATCCTTTTGACGCAAATCGACAGGAAACCCACCATTGGGCCCAAAGGACACATGGTCCGGATGATTCCGGCACATGGGATTGGCTGGGCAAAGCCTTCAGAGTCACACAATGGCCGTAGGTCAAAAGCCCGTACCCCCAGTCAACATCCCAATCCCCACTAAAATCCGCCGACCCCGTCCCAGCCTCCTGCAGAGGGGATGGGCGTGGGATGCAACTGGAATGAAGTGATGATGAGTTTTCTGGAAAACACGCCCATTCCCAGACCGGTCCCGGGACCGGTCCCAGGACCGATCCTGGGACTGGTGCTTGGGATCACTTGTGGTCAGCCAAAACCCGTCCTAAAACCAGGCCGGACGGGCCTAGCCGGACCCAGGACCGGCCCTAGGACCGGTCCGTCCTGGTGCGACCGCACTGGTGTCGATCACAACCCATGAAGCACTGCTTTTTAGAAGGTATCGGAGGGATGTAAGCGAGGCTCATTTTCGCGCATTTTGGCGCCAAGCGCTGCCGGGCATGCCGGCGATGCTGGGTCCTTGCTCCACAAAACGCTGTAAATACCCCCCAAAACTGCTGCGCTGAGCGTTGGGCTGTTGTTCTGTCCGTTTTGCTTTTGCTGCGGCTGGCTCGCGTGCTGCGCGGTCCTTGCTTTTTTCCCGTTGGTTTTCGGGCCTTCTGACGCGCGCGCGCGACCCCAGCCACAAAACGCTGCTATTTACGGTGTTTTGTTGCATTTGCGTTTCCGGGCTGGCTTGCGGGCTGCTCTTTTCGGGCTGCTTTTTTTGGGTCCTCTGGCGGGCGCGCGCGCGCGACCCCTTGTCAGCCTTCTGGGTTGGGGCCCGGCTGGGGCCAGAAAGCTGGCATCGCCGGCATCATCTAGGGCAACATGCAGCCATATCATAGCACAGGATACGTTTCTCATACAAAAAACATGACATGACATGGTATAACTTCAAAGAGGCGTAGTCGGCTAGAGCATAGACTAAAATGGGTGGTGCACCTACCCCAAAATCGTACCATTGGTTTTGACCCACAGCCAAAACAAACCACGTACAGACCTGGTATTTCAGAAGTCAGACCTGACGTTGGAGTCTTGGACAGAGACGGCGGATTCCAAAAGAGGTTTTCCAATTGCCCTCAGGGAGGAGCACCCATGGCTTTGCAGCCGCTCTCGATCTCTAATCATGGAAAACTCAAAGCCATCAACGGCCTCTTACCCACCCTGCTCATCTTTCAGCTCTTTTCGCGGCCCTCTTTTGGAGACCGCTTTGGACGTGAGCATTCGGAAACGCTTTTAGGTCTCAACCAAACCAAACAGAGACTGTGTTGCAAGGTCATCTGCACGGGATCCGATTGAAGGGCTCGTGAGAAAAACTGGTTCTTTCTTGTGCTGAACTTTGCAGGAGTGGTTGCAACCAAAACTCGGATTTACCAAAGCTGACAGAAGGGTGTTGGGAGACTACTTGTTTGGGGGGAAGCCCCCTGTTCACTTCCATGATTGTTGGAGCGACCGTAGGTGTCCCCTGATTGCTGATGCTTGCTTTGCCTAGGAGTCTACCCAAACCCATGGCTAAAGAATGAAACTGGGCAAGGGAGCTGTCTCTCGCAACCCCCGAATCCAACCTTTGGAGACTTGAGATCGGTGCAACTTCCATAAAGTGATCCGGATTCATTCCCTCTACGGGGGGCAGGGATCCCTGACAAACAAAAGATCCATTCATGGGATCCTATCAAGCTAGCGTCAGGGGAATCCTTGATTTGTCAATCAACCAGACTTGGCCATGTTGGGGTTGTTTCCAACATACAATCTTCTGACGTTTCAGATGGGTTGTCAGGGGGCCCAGTTCCCATGATAACTTGTTCACTGCCAAATTTCTCCTCCGCCCTATGCATTAGTGTCAACCTATTCTCGTTTGCTGTTTAACTTTTAGTGGCTTAATGGAAAACTCATTAGTTGGCCAAAAAGTTCAAGTCTTAACATCCATTCTTTTACCATAATCAAAGTCACTCCCTAAGTGGTGGGTTAAAGGGAAACAACCACAGTTTCTGACTTTGATAACCCCCAGAAACAGTCATAATAATAACCCCAGCAAAAAGAAGAAGTCACTGAACAACTCTGCCAAACCCGCCCCTCTCCAATTCGGATTAACCCACGGAACCATACCAATTCCCCCATTCGCCCCGTTTTTGCTTTCCGTCTCGAGGCCCTTCCCGCGCCTGCATCAGATCATCCTTCACTCCCAAGGACTCCATCTTCGAGGAGAACTGCTGCCTCGGCGACTCGAGCCATGCGCTCGGGGATAGGGACGTGGGTCAAACATCGGAATCCCCAAAATGGCTTGCCCTGGTACATGAAAACAAAACAAAGAACCCGTCAAACAAAGAGGATAATCGCTATAGTCGTACCCTCCCACCAACTAACATGGAAGTGCAAAAAGGCCAACTCGCCAAGAGGAAAGTAGTCTTTCTACAGGGGTCTGTGCACACGGATATCACACGGATATTAGGATGTGGGTCTTTGTAAATGGAAACAAAGAATATGAATCTCAATTGGTGCCCCTTCGTGATCGAGATCTATGTCCACCAGCTCTGAGGGTAGCATGCACCAAAAATGTATGTGGAGATGAAACCTCATGAATACTGGGACAACCACCAAACTGTTGCGGATTCTGCCCGCATTGGCGGAAACACTCTCTCGAGCTGACGGCAGAAATCTGCGGCAACATCAGAAGCCAGGTCCCCGTCCGCGAGAAAAACGGTGTCCGTGAAAAGAGGAATCTGAGGCTGTGCTTCTTTTTCTTGCATCCCATTTGCAGAGAATCTTAGGCACTTTTGGGGGGAAGTACCTCACATAAAAATCCGCCAGGTTCTGGTTTCATGCGGGGCCTTCCATACATCCGCGAAGAAACCCACAGTTGGACTGAAACTGTGATATGCAACTGGCTGCAACGGGAAAACTCGGGACCTGTGAGACAATCGCCCAATGGACTAAATCCTGCGCCTACCGTGGACGGGCGAAATCCTGCACCACCTAAGAAGCCATGAATAAAACCATTGTTTGTTAGTATTTACAGGAGAATCATTTCATGCCAGGGTTTTGGAACGGTGCGAAATGGATTCCGAACTTCTTCCGCATCCCCAATCAGCTGCGCTGCAGATCGCTGAGGATCTGCGCCATCTCTGCGGCATCTTGCAGTTTCCCCGTCGGGCTCTTCTCCCGCTGCTCCCGCTCCACGCGCCCCGCTTCCTCGGGGCGAAAAGGGGCCGCGCAGCGAGCGCGGCAACTTTGCCTGTGCACCGTCTCTGCGGAAGAAAGAAAATGGGTGTTCGCCCACATGCGAAAGGATAGCACCCGAACCTCACAAGCCAAATTGAGGCGACTGGACTCGTGGATTTGTTGGCCTGATCAAATAACCTCCTCCACGCCTCCACGAATTGAGCTGTTAGCGATAGCCAAGTCTCCGCCTCTTTCTGCAGCGAGGACAGGAACTCCTTGCGCGACCGCAAGCTACACTTCTACAAACCGGGTGTCTTGCCTTAAAGGAAAGAGAAACCCGATTTCCTCGCGACACACAAGCATGGTCTTGGGCAGACCTAAGGTCCCCTCAAGCTCAAACCTGTCCTTGTGCAAGGGCCTCAAGTCCTGTTTCACTGATCATGGCTTTCTGGCAGCTGCCAAAAAGAAGCGACCCGTCCCAAAACCAGAAAGGCCTACCATGTTTTTGCGCGGCTTTAGGTGCCAAAAACCGGTCACTCCCCTGAGAACCTTCAGGCTTTCCGGACTCCCAAATCGGCTACGGTAAACCACGGCTAGGAATGGTCCTCAACCTCTTCACAGGTCATTTAGACAATGATGGGGCTTGTAAGGATTCCATGATCATGACCTACATAAGGAGTTTTCACTCACACATGACTCAACTGTGGCAAATGGATCCAGAGAACTTTGACTAGGAATCAGAGTCAAGCTGATTTTTGGTGGGCAAAATCTGAGGTCGATTTTCTGTAGGTTGTACCCCAATTGAATTCGGAGGATTTCTTGTTGAGACATATCCACTGTATACCACTAGAGGTATGGCTCGGAGTGGGTACATGGCTCCTGTACATTGGGCCTGGAGGTGGAGCCTCCACCCCAAACCGAACGAAACGCCGACCGATGTTTGACCTAGTGCCTTTTTTGCGGGCTGCTCCCGGTTTTGGGCCAGTCTTGAAGGGAAACGAAAAGGGCCACCACGATTTTGGGGGGTCCACTCAAAAAAGACGGACTCGTCGCCCATATGGTATGGCACATGGGTCATGGACTTGAATCCCCCGACCTCATAGTTCATATCATCCGCCCTCACCACAGGTGCCAGCAGCAGCACGGCGGCGGCCGCGCTCAGGCCTCGGCAGTTTCTTTCAGCCGGCCCTTCAATTCAAAACGGCTCGATATGGCCATGCGTCAAAATCCAACATCCCAATCCAACCACCAAAATAGGCTCTAAAATGGGTGATGCACCTACCCCAAAATGGTACCTTTGGTTTTGACCCACAGCCATATCTGCTCGAAACGCTGTAAAAGAGTTGCAATGCCTTCTCACCAACGTTTACAACCCCATGAAATCTAGATCTCCAAAATGGGAACGTCCCAAGCTCCTCCAAATTCCTTCGCGATTGGCCACAGCTTCAAACCCAGCTTCCCCGCACTCGCCATCCGCGACGCGCTCTCTGGGCTCTCCAAAGGCGCCTCGCACAGGGCTGAAGGCCTCTCGCCAGGGAAGCGCCAGCAGCGGCAGCAGCAGCAGAGCCAGCGCCCAACGCCGCGCTCTCCGTGCCGCCATGGCGAACGCTTCGGATCCGAATGGAAGGCTGGAATGCTTCATCCAGGTACATCCCGTAGAAATCCTTCGTTGGATTCAATCCAAGGGCATCTTGCCCAATGCCACAGTGGATATCAGCCTGCGCTTGCTTGCCGGGCTTCGGTCTATCAGGCTCCATATTGCAAACTATGCCACCAGCATAGTGCCCTCTACATGCATGCGGGGGGGCAGCTGGAACCGCCCATGTTGCAAGCAAATAGGCTGTAGAGCGAGGCGGACAATTGCCAGAGCAGCTCAAGCTGATGCGAAAAGCTGTCGTGTCATTGGTCACCACTCAGTGTCAAGACAAAGATGCACGCAAAAGCTTGTGACTACCCGCCAGCATGACTGCCACCTCACAGATTCACAGGCAGGTGTCCCATGCTAGTTGTAGCTGTCGTAGCTTTGTCACCGACCACAACGCAACTAACAGGAATTGATGAAGTATACGATCAACAATATCATTTGAGCCTGGATGTATGGGGGTTCCAAACGAGGCTCAAACGACCAAGAAGCTGTACAAACTAAAGGAACTCGACAGAATACGGCGCATGGCCGCGTGACTCCGGGAAGCCTAGCTCAGCGCTGGGAAGCCTTGACCACATCCTTGAACTCAAGGAATGCCTTGTAGGCAGCCTTGGCATCCTCGGAACTCACCTTGGACATCATGTAAGGGCCCACATCCTTGCCCAGGCTGAACTTGTTGAAGGCGTTGTACACGTCCATGGTCTTGGAGGCCGGCACGGACGCAATCATGTGGCCAATGGCGGCGTTGGTGGCAGTGTAGTCCGCAAGGGTGGTTACGCCCTTGCCGTCAATGCTCTTGATGGCCTTGCTGTGGGCCAACACGCCAGCCTTCAGAGCCTCCGGGTCCATTGCGGCGCCCATGACCAACATCTTATCGATGGCCTTCAACACCTCCAAGGGCTTGGCGGTGGGCAGCACTCCGTAGACGCCGTCAGTCCAGTCGATCTCCTCTGAGCATAACAAACCGCTATCATGCAGCCGTCGCACACACACACAAAAAAAATAAAACAGAGACGGCCAAGCAACAACAGAACCAATGCAGTTGCATGTGGTCAGTCCTTCAAAAATGGGTAGCTCTTCTCACTGAGAACCTTGGCCGCGTCGTCGATCTTGTCGGCATACGCGGGCGCAGTGCCCAGCATGGCCGCGGCACCTGCAGCGGCAACTGGCACCTGCCGGCCCGTGGGGGGCGGCACGAATGCACTCTGCCAGCCGCAGTAGGCCGCCACGGCCGCTGCAACCACGAGCATCTTGCTTGCCTTCGCCATTGCTGACACGAGGTATCGGGGCACTGGCCGGAGTCAAGGCAAACGAGTCAAGAGCTGCGAGCAACATCAGAATCCGGCAGAGTCCATCACATTAGTATGTTTTTTCGGGCGTCAGCTCAAGTCAGCACTGGGAAATTATCTAAAGGAGTGTTTGTACCCGCAGTGGTACCATTTCAAGCACCGGGGGGGTAGATGGTGGGTGCCAAGTTCCTTCAGAACATTTCGAGTTACATCCATCCCACATCCGCGGCCTGACTGTCTATCGGCATATGAAGTCCTTCAATGAAGGCTTCCGAGAAGGGTTGTACAAACTTGGGCGGATTTACGTACAACATCAGGAGCCACCACAAAGCACGCTATCGCCCGCGTCCAGCAAAACGGTCATTCTGCATCAAAAATGCTGGCATCCTTTTCAAAAAAACGACTTCCTTGAGGACAAGGATCGATTGCCTGCCGCATGAAAGGCTATAACGAGGCGCTAAAGCATTTTCAGAGCATTCGGAGAAGAGGATGTGTCTCAAGCTGCCTCTCCGCAGCATTGCTGCCGTAGCTTTGTCACCACGCAACTAACAAGATAAAGTTTGCGGACAGAATACGACGCATGGCCGCGGATTCCAGGAAGCCTTCTAGCTCAGCACTTGGAAGCCTTGACCACATCCTTGAACTCGATCTTACTTATTGGACATCAGGATGCCACGGAGCAGAACTCCGCGTCCAAGATGCCACGCAAGCCCTTCAAACGTGACGTAGCCGGCCGGCATTGATCGCGTCGAGCGAGAAGCGAAAAACACGCGATCGCCTCAAACATGACTAGGGTGAAAGCCGGAGGCTGGCATCCACACCACCACAATCGGGGTCCAGCTCCGTGCTCGGAAAAACCCACCAGCGCGTTGAAGGGTTTTCAGGCGCCAGGAGCCCAGGCCAAAAGGTGCAAACAAAAACGCACCAACCAAAACGAATTCAGCCAACGCCGATGCCTTCAGTGCGGGGTGACCACAAAGAAGCCACCATCCCAAGAGACGACGCAATGACCGGCAATTGTCAGGGAGAAAGTCATAGAACTCCCTGTACGTCACGTTGACTGCCAGAGCCAATCCGCGAGAAGCCCATCTTCTCCTCACCAGCAGTCACACCAAAATAGAAACGCCCAGAATGGCAACCAAGCCAAATGGTGAACACAAATCAACCCGCGCAGGGCGGCAGGAAATACAGTCATCCTTTTGCGAAAAGCCTCTCAGCAGCACGATCTTGAGGCCCTTCTCAACGCTGCTGCGCTCGCACAACTCCACATCAAGTGGCTCCCCTGCAACAAGCTTGACTTTTGGGAAAGCACTCGAAAAAACTGTCGCCAGCAGCACTCCTCAAGTTGGCATTGCCACACGCAGCCTCAAAACACTGCTTGCGGCTTGTAAATCTGAAGACCAGGTGCTTAGGAGCAGAACATCCAGTCCTTGCGCAAGCGGATTGTCTGTGTCGAGTTGTTTTTGCGACGCAGTTGAAAACCTGCTTGCGGTGGACATCAGCCAGCCACTCGCGCAGAATCTGGGGATCATCAACTCCCAATTCAACCTCCCTTGCTTCTCCAAAGCCGTCCGCGGCTTCCTGCGCTTCCGCCCTTCGCTTGGTGCGGCTCGGCATATTTCTTCAGCTCCTTTGGCTGGCTGTAGGGCAGCCATTGCCTGCTATCGACAAGAACAAGCAATCACCGTTGCCTCTTGGCACCCAGCCCGCCCATGAGGCGCTCGTCGCTCAGTCTTCTGATTCTTGCACTGCCGCTCTTGCGCCCCTCGGGGTTTGAGCCTTGCTCCTTGTCAACGTCCATGGCCTTCTGGTCTGCGTGGGCCTTTCCAGCCTCAGCCAGTGCTGAGCTGGCGCGCTCCGGCTTGGGAACTGCATGTTTCTGCTGCCGCCAAATGATGCGGCTCTGGCTTCATGATGATCGCGCTTGTCTGTGAAGGCGCCGATCTTCTAACCGCCTTCACAAAGATCACCTCGTGATCCTCCTCCTCAACCATCTTAATCACCGCCTGGACGGTGGTCTGGTTGTCGCCTCCGCCTCTTCGCCACTGCTTCTGCTGCATCTGCACCTACTTGAAGCCAGATACTTTGAAGAGTTCTTCTATCTAATCACATGTCGACCCTCATGTCGCTTGCGCCCACACAAAGTCCAATCTGCCTGTTCCCCTCTACCACAAGCAAGGGCTTGGCGGTGGGCAGCACTCCGTAGACGCCATCAGTCCAGTCGATCTCCTCTGAACACAACAAGTCGCTATGAGTATCATGCAGTCCGTTCCTATTCAGAAACAACATGTCAAATTTCACGTCCGTGGCAGAACGACTACTGAGAATAACACATTAAGTAACACCATATCAGCTTGCAAGTCAGCTTGTGCAGTCCGCTCCATGTACGCAAAGTATGCTCAAGGCCGAGCAAAGTAGCAAAGCGCGCGCATACAGACAGCTTTCAGTCCTGCTTTCAGTCCTTCAAAAATGGGTAGCAATTCTCACTGAGAACCTTGGCCGCATCGATCTTGTCGGCATACGGGGGGGTCGGGGGACCGGGAGGAGGGGGGCGACGGCGTGTACGGTGCGGCGATTTGGTGACAGTCACTCATTTTCACTTACCGTACTGAGCAAATTACCGGGCAAGCTCAGGTGAGCAGCGCTGCTGGTGGAGGGCGGTGAACTCGAATCCTCCCTGGATCGCCCGGGCCAATGCTGCGTGGGAGTTTCGGTGCAGGAATGAGTGCGGTTGTGTGAGGGTGCTGTGGGTTTTCTGTGGGTCTTGTCTGGGTCTCGTGCAGGGGTTGGAGCGGTTTTGTGTGGGTTTTAATTGGTTTTCGTGTGCGCTGTTGGAGGGGTTTGTCTGGGTTTTATGTGCATTTTGTGGGAGTTTTGGGAGGGTTGTGTGTAGGTGTTGGGTGGGCTTTGTGGGGTTCTGTGTGGGGATGTTGGAAGGGTGTTGTCTGTGGGTTTCGCGCGGGTTGTGTGGGTTTTCTTTGGGAATTGGATGGGCTTTGGGTCTCCCCACTCCACACCCCACGCTCCACACTCCACACACAACACACAGCACACACAACACACGACACACCACACACCACACACGCCATACACCACACACAACACAACACACACGCGACACACGACACACGACACACCACACACCACACACGACACACCACACAACACACTCCACACTCCACACTCCACACTCCACACTCCCCGCTCCACTCTCCACTCCACTCCTCACTCCCAGCCCCCACCCGCCGCTCAAAGGGGGGTGCCAAATCCAAAGCAACATTGATCAAGCATGAGAGTCCTCAAAACATATACCAAACCAAATCACCCAAATACCAGTCATCAAAATCGAACATATTTCAAGGATCAAAATCAAAGGACATGTCACCACTCATTCAGGCACCGCAGCAGAAGTCGGCGGAATGAGCCGGAGGCTCCTCCCACGTCCGCAGCCTGCCCATGGGCAAAAGGAAGTCCTTGAATGAAAGCCCTGATTTGCCTCCAATATCAGGAGCGACCACAAAGCACACTGCCCGCGTCAAGCAAAAAGGCGATTCTGGATCAAAATTGATGGCATCCTCTTAAAAAGCCACAAGAATCTGGAGGACAAGCGCCTTCTGGCACCAAGCACGGACCCTCAGCGATCGATTGCCTACCGCAACAAATTGCTTGACGAGGCAAATCGTGTGCGGAGTCAGTCGGCAAAGGAGGACCTTTTTCAAGCTACGTCTCCGCAGCATTGCTGTCGTAGCTTTGTCACCGACCACAACGCAACTAACAGGAATTGATAAAGTATACGATCAATATCATTTGAGCCTGGGTGCCTGGGGGTTCCAAACGAGGCTCAAACGACCAAGAAACTATACAAACTAAAGGAAGTCGACAGAATACGCGGCATGGCCGCGGATTCCAGGCAGCCTTCTAGCTCAGCGCTGGGAAGCCTTGACCACATCCTTGAACTCAAGGAATGCCTTGTAGGCAGCCTTGGCATCCTCGGAACTCACCTTGGACATCATGTAAGGGCCCACATCCTTGCCCAGGCTGAACTTGTTGAAGGCGTTGTACACGTCCATGGTCTTGGAGGCCGGCACGGACGCAATCATGTGGCCAATGGCGGCGTTGGTGGCAGTGTAGTCCGCAAGGGTGGTTACGCCCTTGCCGTCAATGCTCTTGATGGCCTTGCTGTGGGCCAACACGCCAGCCTTCAGAGCCTCCGGGTCCATCGCGGCGCCCATGACCAACATTTTATCGATGGCCTTCAACACCTCCAAGGGCTTGGCGGTGGGCAGCACTCCGTAGACGCCATCAGTCCAGTCGATCTCCTCTGAACACAACAAGCCGCTTTAAGTATCATGCAGTCCGTTCCTGCTCAGAAACAACGTGTCAAATTTCACGTCCGTGGCAGAACGACTATCGAAAGTAACATTACGAACCACCGTATCAACTTGCAAGGCAGCATTGTGCAGTCCGCTCCAAGTACGCAAGGTATGCTCAAGTTCAATCAATCGCCAAGAAAGGTTAGCAAAGTGCTCGAACACAGACAAAGAAACACAGACACGGACAAACAACAACAGAACCAATGCAGCTTCCTGCTTTCAGTCCTTCAAAAATGGGTAGCTCTTCTCACTGAGAACCTTGGCCGCGTCGTCGATCTTGTCGGCATACGCGGGCGCAGTGCCCAGCATGGCCGCGGCACCTGCAGCAGCGGCAACTGGCACCTGCCGGCCCGTGGGGGGCGGCACGAATGCACTCTGCCAGCCGCAGTAGGCCGCCACGGCTGCTGCAACCACGAGCATCTTGCTTGCCTTCGCCATTGCTGACACGAGGTAACGGGGCACTGGCCGGAGTCAAGGCAAACGAGTCAAGAGCTGCGAAGCGACATCAAGCAGAGTCCATCACATTAGGGCAGGTCCGGTAGAAATCCTTCAATGAAAGCCCTTCCTGGCATCCAGTAAGGACTGTACAAACTAAAGGGATTTGCCTCCAAAATATCAGGAGCGACCACAAAGCACACTACTGCCCGCATCAAGCAAAAAGGTGATTCTGGATCAAGCATGATGGCATCCTCTTAAAAAGCCACAATAATCTTGAGGACAAGCGCCTTCTGGCACCAAGCACGGACCCTCAGCGATCGATTGCCTACCGCAACAAAATGCTTGACGAGGCAAATCGTGTGCGGAGTCAGTCGGCAAAGGAGGACCTTTTTCAAGCTACGTCTCCGCAGCATTGCTGTCGTAGCTTTGTCACCGACCACAACGCAACTAACAGGAATTGATAAAGTATACGATCAATATCATTTGAGCCTGGGTGCCTGGGGGTTCCAAACGAGGCTCAAACGACCAAGAAACTATACAAACTAAAGGAAGTCGACAGAATACGCGGCATGGCCGCGGATTCCAGGCAGCCTTCTAGCTCAGCGCTGGGAAGCCTTGACCACATCCTTGAACTCAAGGAATGCCTTGTAGGCAGCCTTGGCATCCTCGGCACTCACCTTGGACATCATGTAAGGGCCCACATCCTTGCCCAGGCTGAACTTGTTGAAGGCGTTGTACACATCCATGGTCTTGGAGGCCGGCACGGACGCAATCATGTGGCCAATGGCGGCGTTGGTGGCAGTGTAGTCCGCAAGGGTGGTTACGCCCTTGCCGTCAATGCTCTTGATGGCCTTGCTGTGGGCCAACACGCCAGCCTTCAGAGCCCTCCGGGTCCATCGCGCGCCCATGACCAACATTTTATCGATGGCCTTCAACACCTCCAAGGGCTTGGCGGTGGGCAGCACTCCGTAGACGCCATCAGTCCAGTCGATCTCCTCTGAACACAACAAGCCGCTTTAAGTATCATGCAGTCCGTTCCTGCTCAGAAACAACGTGTCAAATTTCACGTCCGTGGCAGAACGACTATCGAAAGTAACATTACGAACCACCGTATCAACTTGCAAGGCAGCATTGTGCAGTCCGCTCCAAGTACGCAAGGTATGCTCAAGTTCAATCAATCGCCAAGAAAGGTTAGCAAAGTGCTCGAACACAGACAAAGAAACACAGACACGGACAAACAACAACAGAACCAATGCAGCTTCCTGCTTTCAGTCCTTCAAAAATGGGTAGCTCTTCTCACTGAGAACCTTGGCCGTTATTGCCGATCTTGTTTACGCTTGCGCATAGTGTTCAGCATGGTCCGCTGTCGCTTGTCCAGCGGCAACTGGCACCTGTCGCCTGGAAGTGTGGACACGCACTCTGCCAGGCCGCAGTAGGGCTTTCCACTGCCAGCTGCAACCACGAGCATCTTGCTTGCCTTCGCCATTGCTGGACACGCAGGCAACGGGGCACTGGCCGGAGTCAAGGCAAACGAGTCAAGAGCTGCGAAGCGACATCAAGCAGAGTCCATCACATTAGGGCAGGTCCGGTAGAAATCCTTCAATGAAAGCCCTTCCTGGCATCCAGTAAGGACTGTACAAACTAAAGGGATTTGCCTCCAAAGTATCAGGAGCGACCACAAAGCACACTACTGCCCGCATCAAGCAAAAAGGTGATTCTGGATCAAGCATGATGGCATCCTCTTAAAAAGCCACAATAATCTTGAGGACAAGCGCCTTCTGGCACCAAGCACGGACCCTCAGTGATCGATTGCCTACCGCAACAAAATGCTTGACGAGGCAAATCGTGTGCGGAGTCAGTCGGCAAAGGAGGACTTTTTTCAAGCTACGTCTCCGCAGCATTGCTGTCGTAGCTTTGTCACCGACCACAACGCAACTAACAGGAATTGATAAAGTATACGATCAACAATATCATTTGAGCCTGGGTGCCTGGGGGTTCCAAACGAGGCTCAAACAACCAAGAAGCTATACAAACTAAAGGAAGTCGACAGAATACGCGGCATGGCCGCGAATTCCAGGAAGCCTTCTAGCTCAGCGCTGGGAAGCCTTGACCACATCCTTGAA